ACTCTCTTGACATCCCAAAACAAGGTTAGTCGTACATAAATATAACACTGCCTCAAAGTAAGGTATATTTTCCTTAAATGAAAAAGTAAAAGGGGTATGATTTTGATTGCACTGTGTCTACTGAAACCATTCAATGTTTAGAAAACCCAAGGGAACCAAGCATTTAATTAGTCAAGTTATCTCTTAAATTAAATTTGGTTTTCCATAATTCATAATGGCTTCCCAGAGTTACCACTTGCTCATGCAAGTTGCAAACTCGGAACCCAACAGAGACTTAATTCAATACATCAGTTATTGAGACCTCACAAGGGTCAAGTTTCACACTAGATCCGTGGGGATATTAAATCATTTTCGTAATATATTCACAGAGAATATTGATAAGCACAATTATAAAACAAAACTTAGATTATAATTTGCAAATATAAACATGGTTTTAGTTTTCTGAATATAAAAATTTTATTTACAACAGCATATTCTTTTCTTGAAACGACCAATGTCAATGAAGAATTCTGCTATGAAAGTAAGGAAAAATGAAATAAAGACAGCTTAGTTGTGTGTTGTTACACTAGAGAAATTGATTTGTTACCTTAGTATAACAACAACAACAAAGCCCAAAGTTTCCTTTCTAAAGTTTCCCTTGCCTATAGTGATCTGAAAGTATTCTGACAATTTGAGGTTTCTTAAGTGAAGGGTTGCCACATGACCAATCAATTTAAGCAGTGAAAAAAAAAATCTATTCATTCTCAGTAATAGTTCACTAGCCATAAAAAAAAGGAATTTGGCTTTAACATTTATAATCTCAGGAAGTTTGGTAGGCCTCAAACTCCTTGTGGAATAATTCCTAGTTTGAAACCACAAGTAAAACTTCTATTCAAAAATAGTGTAATAAAGTGTGCCATGAGGACAGAGGTAGATATGTTTTATTTTGTTGTTTTCGCTGGGATTTGGAAGATACTAGAGAAAGATGAGTTTCTGTAAAGTGCCTTGGACACGCAAATTCCAGTGAGATGTCTGGGTAAATATAGTAATACTCAAAGAAATAAACTGGAAACCACAAAACAAACATTTTCAATCACATGCTTATTCATGGTACCATCAGTGAAATTCCTCTCCAATGAGCCTGAATAAGCAGCTGCAAACTCAGCCAGGAAATGGAGCATAGCACACTTGCAAGCCACCTTGCAGGACAGGCTTATCTGCGTTTTACATATGCTGCTCATTGGGTTCAGTCCCGAGTGGCCACCCTCTTCAAACTTCACCACAGTCTGCTGCAGTTAACTAGCTCCAGATTGCCCTGAAAAGAACTCTCCTCCATTCTTAGGTGGATCATAAAAACGCAAAACCTCAGAATGAGCGGCGCAAAGGGGAGGAAAGGGTCTCCCTGTAGAAGGCAAGGAGCCGGTGCTGTCTCTTTTAACCTCCACCCTATCATCCTGTGCTTTCCCTCTCCTCACACCTCCCATCTGTCAACAAGGGCTTGTAATTTTATTACACTGTCCTGTAGTTTACACAGAGTTGGGATTATTTTACAGAGTTCTGTTAATGGACTGGATAAATGGTAATGCTATTTAAACTAGTCTCCTGCCCCAGCCAACGCAGCTGTGAGTGTACTACTATTTCTGAGCAAACATCTTGACCTGAACATGCAGTGCTCTTTCGGCCCTTCCAAAGAGAAATTGGAGCAGACAGCAAAGGGAAAGTGTGTTTGGCCGCTAGCAGCAATCAACCGTGTCAAATCATAATTCATATACAGTGTACCCCCTTTTGCTTTTATATCACATTTACAGCCTGCAAAACTGCACGTGTGACCGGCATCTCATTTTCAGCCAAAAGTCAAATGATGACTATTCTTTACAAAAATCTAACAGAAATCTATACAATGTCCAATGTATCAAGATAGTATTCCTATAAACTAACAATGCTAAAAACAAATACCAGCTTATAAACTATATTTTAAACTGGTTATCTTTCTTGGCTAGGAATACATAGTGAAAATATGTTAAACAAAATACACAATAAGTAAAAATAAAGAAGTAGATATTAATTAGCATAATTTATGAAGAAAAATAAATTCTACGAGAGATTTTTGCTGGTACTATATATATGCATGGCTCTAGTATGTCATTCAGCCAGGCAACAATGGATGTTTTTAAAGATACACATCGAGCCACTAGACAAATATTTTCTTTATGCTAATATTCCTTCCCTGTTATTTGTCAGAATTCTTATGTCCCTTCAAGTACAATGATTCATTCTGACGGAGCATTCCAGAGGCTACTTTTGAATGTGAATTTAAACTCATTTTTCCATCTACTACAATATTTATTTCAGGTGAGCAACTAGGCACCTGTATCATGTGATGCGAAAAAACAATGAACCTACATCCTTGGCCTTCGCAGATATATGAGCCCAGGGTCGGAGTCAGATCTTTTTCTTTCTGCTTCCTAAAGACCCTTAATGTTGGCTGTTTCGTTTTGCTGGTAGTATCATTTAAAAAGTTTAGTTCATAACTTTTCCTCTCAAGAGAAATCCAACATTAACAGTTCACCCACATCTATCTCATTCTTGTGATGCATAGGATCCTCAGCTCAAAGCAAAAATATTGCTGATGTGAATGTACAGGCAATACTCACACTCCTACAACTATGGTTCGCCATTATGAGACTGAAGCAAGAGAATTGGTGCGGATCAAAACTACTGAATGCTATATAATATGTTCTAGGGTGTCATGGCTTACAGGATGGAAGGAAAATGAGAGAGAAAGGGGAGTCCGTAGGAAAGACAGGATGGGAGGAAGGAAGGGGGGGGAAAGAGGGAGGAAAGTAAAAGAGACGAAAGTAAACCTCTATACTTCTATTTAAAGAAAATGTCCGTCATCACATAGATATACTCTGTCATTATTAATCATGATGTCATGCTAGGTTTATGAATAGTACAATATTTATATATGTATTATAACTATAGGTACGAATGATAAACATATTTAGCTTCTACATTCTCATGAGAAAATGATTTGTGCCAGACAGGCACAGAAATATCCCAAGAACATTTTCTCGCTGCCCCTTCCCCTTTTGGAACATGACTACAATTAATCAGGAAACTCTGTCACAGTCTTGTGGGGTCTATTCCTCTTCGGTTCACTTCTCAGAGCTTTCATATGTCCCATCATAATGAAGTTTCTGAAAAGTATAAAATCTTAAAATTTAAGGAGAATCTTCTTTGCTCCACTATGTGATATTGTCAAAGAGGTCTAACTGCCAAACAGTGTAATTTGCTGCTGGGGACTTCTCCAGTGCAGTAAGTCATGAAACAGTTCCTTGGGAAATCACTCCCAGCACTTCTCAAGAAGACACGAAACCCTCCTGTTTCTCGGAGAAAATGTGAGGCTACTTCTTACGTTTTTCATAGTACAACTGGTAAAAGACCACAGCCATTCCATTTAAGTTCATTTCTGCAGTATATAAGGAAAAAAATAACAACCAAAAAGCGCACTCCAAAGACACTGTGTGCTGCTTTTGTATGCACACTGCTGACAAAGTCACAGTCCTGCAGGGTCATGGGATGTAAGTTTCAAAATCCTTACAAGTTTCTTCATTACCCGCAACAATTAAAACATAAAGAGTGGTATTATTTAAAAAACAAACCTGGCCATTATGCCACTAACTGCAACTATTTAAATATATTTCAATTGCTATATATGTATGTATGCATGCACAATTTTATGGAAGGCTACATCCTACTTCCTGGAATAAGTAGCCCTTCAAGATCATTTGTTAAGAGAAGTTTCTTTGATTTTTAAAACTCCACTGACATAGTGCCAGTTAAATAGCAGAGCTCACAAACAGGAGAATTACAGACTGTGGTTTTGACTCTCCTAAAGGAAGTGATGTCAGAAAACAGAAGGTGTGTGTGTTCAGCTTGGGGGGGGGGGGTCAGCTGGAAAATATCTTTGTATTGTGAAATGAGGTATCAGGAAAACTGACCTCACAGACATCCTGTTTTCATTGGGGAGGAGTATGAGAGCCCCGCCCCCCCCAACACACACGCACACACATGCACTGCTGGAATTGATAACAACAATTTTGAACCTGTAGGCTACAAAGCTTTGGCTACAAAATCGAATTCGGAAAACAGCACTGTGTTCACTTTCTCTACAAACACTTCCATATGGGACTTCCCCAACATCCAGGTGGGGCCAGTCCAGACAACTTACTTACTCTATATATCCCAGCCATCATGTCACAGCAAACATGAACACCGATAGTCATTGGTATTTATCTTTTCCAACATTTGGAGTGTATCTGCCATCTGTGCAAAACCATGCACACAGCAGAACAGTCTAATTTTCAAAGCTTTCGGAAACGTGTTTTCACTATTACGCATTAGGTCAGTGATCAAGCATTCCTGGGAGGAAAAACTGATCCCACCTAATACTCACAATGTGCTTTTTGAAAAGAACAACTTCCCCAACAGCCTATGAGATAATCTGATACGAAAGCCTTGCCTTCCAGTAGTTCACATTGCAGAATTCGTAATTCTACCTAAAGAAACTCTTATGAGAGAATTTACATCTTTAAATGCTTTAGGATAGATAATATGCACAAACTAATAAACGCGGCTCCTCGAGTGCCAAAACAATTCCCAAAAAAAGCTAACAAAAAGAACCCAACTTTACAGGGAACACCGTCTAAATGAAAGACCAGTAGTAATATTCCTCTTAAAAATTTGGTTTCTATTGAGCACAAGGCAAACCCCTCTATCACCACATAATCAAAACCAAAAACTGCAATAACAAACAATTAAGCCACAAAATGCTACATAAACAAAGCCACTGGAACCACCAAAGATCTTCCATTTCCTTCAAAAAGCAAAAGGGCAAACTTTCAATCTAGGAATCTATTAACACATGGATTCCAGGAAAGCGCAAGAAAACACCCACAAATCTATTAATAAAACACAAGGTCAACCAAAAGCAACAGGGAACACTTGTGTCTACTTACAGCCGGTAGAGCTTCGCAGTCCCAAGAAATAGCAGCTCAGGAAACAACTGAAGGTTATTTCTGTTTAAACGCCTTTGGAGAAAACAAAGAAAAACAGAGCTTATGTTACACAGAAAATATGTAACGACGAGGCTGTGCTTTGGTAGTGTCGTGCCTTCACCTGCATTTCTAGAAATAGCGGAATGACATTCCAGAGAATCCAAGCATCATACACCAAAAGTTGGTTACACCTTTTATTACATGGCACTTTACACAGTTTCCCGTGTGCTTAGTCAAATGGTTACTGGGACCTAAATTCTCAACTCACCCTCCCTGCAACATAAGGCACACATGACTAAATGGGACTTCCTAACCCAGACACAACTTCAATAGAGGATATACATATTAATACAGTAAACTATGTTAAACGAATTCAGATTCTCAGAAGGCCAAGATTTTCAGCCAAGGCACGGTAGACAGAAATTTCAATTTTATCACTATTTATTTAACTGGGGATAGAGCCTGAGACAGTGTCTATAAGACTTTCTCTTCATAGGTGAAGTCAGAATTTAAAAAAAAAAAAAAAAAAAAAAAAAACAAAGCTGATCTACTTTCTGTGTGAGTGCGCTAAATGACTGCACCACTGATGCAAAGCTAGGGACTTTGGAGAGATGGCTCAGAGGTTAAGAGTGCTGACTGTTCATTCCAGAGGTCCTGAGTTCAATTCCAGCCACAACAACATTGTGGCTCACAACCATCTGTAATGAGATCTGGAGCCTTCTTCTGCAGAATACTGCATATATAACAAATCTTTAAAGAAAAAAAAAAAAAGCTCTAAACCTCAATCCACAGCTCTTGACCGATCACTGAGTTGATTTTCTTTCTGTGTGAGTAAGTAGCGTTTCAAATCTGATTTACTTTCTGTGTGAGTGCGCTAACCGATTGCGTTGCTTTTATTTTGGGGGTGTTTTAGATGCTTTGAGGAAGAATCTAATTGCAAGATTGTTTTAGATGTTTCAGATGCCTCTAATAGGAATCTAATTATAACTCTACCAAGACCCAATCTATTGTTAAGCTCAATGGGAGTGGGCACACCTACTAGAGAAAGTAAAGTAAGCAAAAGCTATCATTGGTAAACTAACAATCCAACCCTACCAGTTGTATGTAAATACTTTAATCAATTGAGTAACAACTGCCTACTTTTCTGCTTCTCCCAAATCTAAATATACTGATGGGAAGCTAGTACAAGCTATCTATACAAATGACGTACAAGTTGATTGACCTTCGAGACCAATGGCACCCTGAGAAATGTGGAAACTAGTCTTTAGGACAGAGGTTAAAGATGTCCTGACTTTTTTTTTTTTAAGGTTTATTAGGTGTAATTAAGAGGCTGCTTACTTAGTCTCCACCAGGCAGCAATGAGACCAGTGATTTTATTTTCTAAAAAAGTAGATATAACCCTAACCCTAATCAGATAATAAGGGATACTTTTGTCAAAGTCACCTTAAAGCAAAAAGAACTGCTTGAAGAAACTCTCCATCTGCAATTCGAAGATTCCAAGAAGAAGCTTTATGTATTTTCCTTTGCTTGAAAATGGCAGCCTAAAAGCAGGGTCTGCATTTAAGGGAGTTGCAGGACAGGTGAGCAGAAAAATGAGGGTGGTCAGTGCTGTGGTCTCTGAACATGCTTAGAAGCTGCTCACCTACAGAGCCGTGCTCAGCATGTCATAAAATACATACCAATAACAATGTGCTCCAAGGTCCAAAGAGGAGAATTAGTGGTGAAAGGGTGGATTTACCACCATCAGTGCACCGATTTTTATGAATGAACCACATAATAAAGTAAAACAAAAACCTTTTATTCTATTTTTTTTCTTGGGCATGATGCTGAGGGGATACTACTTTCACTATCCATCATGTTTCCACTTTAAACAAAATAGCTTCATTGTGACTTTGTGATGATAGCATCTGAGAAAGAGAGAAAACCAAAAAAAAAAAAAAACAAACAAAAAAAAAACTCATTCACAAACACCGAAAATTCATTCACATTTGGTAAGAGTGACGACAATTTATCCAGCAGTTCTTTGGGAGATGTATGCAGAGAATGCCTACCTAACCCGATTTCTAAAATGACAGACATGAAGTTGTCTTAATTATATTCCAAACACTGGCTTAATAGTCCTCAGTGATTCTTCAGCCCAAATAGGCATGCTACTTCTGCGAGAGGCAGCTTTCCATAGAGAGCTTGCCCTTCCCACCAAACAGTGCTTTCTAACATTCTATGTGAAACCCCAGCTATCCTCTGTAAACTCCGTGCCTCCCTTGGCTGTGTCCCCAGAGCGTTTGATAAGACCCCTTTGCACTGTATAATATTGACTCATGCGCTAGTCTCTTTCCCACTAGGCTGCGAGCTCCTCAAATGTGAAGACCCGCTCTTTGTTCTCCTTCTTCTTCCTCTGGCACTTACTAGGTTAGAGCTGCATTAAAAAATACAAAGCAATCTCCTGCTCTCATTCAGCACTCCCCAATCTTCCCCGGCATGTGGTAGGTTCCTATTGTGTTGAATGAGGACTGACTGCTCTCTTTGCATTTTGATACAGTTCAGTGAGGACCCAGTATATTCACTTGATATTAGGACCACTTTGCTTTGGCAGGCTCCCTAAGCCACCAGCCACCAACCAGCTAACTTGCTTGCATGTACCCTCAATATGGCCCCTGTTCTTCACTCACCACTCACTTTGTGAGCAACAGCTAAGAGCAAAAAGGAGTTTAGTGCATGTAAATAAACCCCAGCACATAAGTGATGACAGCTTGTTCTAAACCACTTAATACATTGGTAATACATTAGCAAAACGTCATAGATTATGAGAAAGTAGATACTGAAGTCCTGGTACTGGTAGTGTCTTTCTCTTTATGGTTGTAACCATTTTCACATTCCCAGCGTTTCTTAACTGACACCACAAACCCTATCTGATGCGTTTTAGACTATGTGGATCACTTCATACTTGTCCCAGCATCCTCACAGTAAGTAACACTCCACGTGATTTGGTAAGAAATCTCCAGCTCACAAGCAGAACTAGCATGTGGCTTCCGGTGGTGTGATCCCACACATCGGGCATCACCATGACTGTCTGTTCCTCACTTTTATTTCAAAATAACGTAATGCTGAAAGTCTCCTTGAGAAAACCAGTGCTATCTGGTCCATTTCGGAAACACCTTTGAGCTAATCAGATGAAAATATGACACTCAATTTAATATTTAAAAGACATTATCTACGAGAGATTGGCAAGATGGCTCAGTGGGTGAGGAGCTTGCCACCCAAAATTATAAGCCTGGCAAACTGAGTTTGATTCCTGGAACAAGTATAAAAGGAGAAAGAGAGATTGGAGAGATGGCCCAGTGGCTATGAGGACTGGTCTTTCAAAGGACCCAGATTCAATTCTTACAACACATGGTAGCTCACAACTGTCTATAACTCCGGGTTTAAGGGTTCCAACACCCTCACATGGACATACAGGCAGCTAAAACACCAACACACATAAAATAAACATAAATAAATCATTTTCAAAAGAAAAAATGTGGAAGGCAAGAAACGACACTACAAAGTTCTTCTGTGGCTTCCACATACACACCTTAGCATGCAGCTCTCCTTGTGTAGTCGGGCACACATATGAGCACACACATGTACACACATACTAATAACACTAAGAATTTTTTCTGAATTTAATTATTTCTTCATGACAGGGATTGTGTCTAAACTAATCATGATGCATTTTGTTTTGAACATGAGGCAAGACAATATCATAAAAATAGCAGGCGTACTAAAGGAAGAGGAATATATTTGGCTCTAGTTCTTTTCCATCATGAACATGAACATGTATACATAATAAGGTTAAATGGATGGAAACTTTTTCAATTAAAAAGTTACTAGAGTCCTTCAAATTCAATGAATTATTTAAAAGAAAAAATTCTTGTGAATATCAGAAATTAAATCCCTAAAGGGCATATTTTTAAATCTGCAGTTACTTTAGAGACCGTTAAGATACAAAACAATCACAAAACAGAGCTGGAGAACCAGCAATCCTGCTTCTAATACCACAAAGAAAACATCATAGTGACTTAAGGAGAGGAGTGTCACAATGTGACCTCGAATGCAAATGAGCTGACATTTAAAGTGATGGTCCCAGGACAAGACAACAGGAAGGGGTGTTGCATAGGATTATTGATGAGAGACCACACAAGGTACTCCATAAAAAGACACAGTCATGCCCAAGGACAGATGACAGAGCATAGTCACACCAGTTCTGTGTCATCACCCTGGGATACAGTCTGCCCACGAGATCCGACAACCATTTGAGGAGTCTCTGGATCGTGACTCATGCTTTCAGGAAGATATGTGTGGTGTGTTTCTCTGAGATAGCTTTTCTAAAACCCAAGATAATTAAAGATGCTGTTTCTGAGTATGACTTTCAGATGGATAAATGATCTCAGGGCTATCAAAACACTGCAGGCCTCTGACTACCTGGATCAGATGCTTTTTCTTAAATTATTATCTTCCATTTGCTCTGGTGATTTATCCTTTCACGGACACAATAGTATCTTACTTTTCTTAACTTTCATATTAGTTCAATGAATACTTTACCTCAAAATAACCTTCCATTCCATTGCATTCCAAAATGCAAACTTAAAAAAGTTTACCAAAGCCAATGAAAGAAACTGTGTGCTTCATATCCACAAATCAAGGCAAATATACTTCAGTATCATGCCTTATTCAGTAAAGATTGCCCTAAAAAGTTCCATTGCTCTCCTACTCTTCATACATAAATGATCAAACTCTCCTTTTTGACTCTTCAGATGAAATTTCTACTTGCCCATTTAAAGTATTGTTTCTTGACATTTGTAAAGCGAATGATTTTATCTTACATAATACCAAAGTTTACATTTCAGGCAGTTGTATCATCTAGCTTGTTTTAAATGGCTGAAAGATTTTTCTTTCCAGCAGCACTGGCAATGATCATTTCATCCTCTGTGCTCCATGTTAGGGAAGCCAACCCTTGTGAATAAAAACGCTGTTTCCTGCTGACATCCTTCACT